ACAGCCCAGAAGATGGGGACGTTTTGATCTAAGCATTCAGAGGTGTGTAGTCGTAGACCAGGTGGGAGGGGGGACAACCCGCCTTCGCCCGTTGCCCTGCTGGAGACCCAGAGTCTGTTTGTGCCCCGATCCTGAAGCCAACGGTTTCTCTCTGCTTGCAGCCGGCGGGCACCGTTCCCCTTTCGGTCACGGCTGCGTTGCAGCTGACGCACAGCCAGGAGGACTCCAGCCGTTGCTCGGATAACTCAAGCTACGAGGAGCCCTTGTCGCCCCTCTCGGCCAGCTCATCCACCTCCCGCCGGCGACAGGGCCAGCGGGACCTGGAGCTCCCAGACATGCACATGCGGGACCTGGTGGGCATGGGACACCACTTCCTGCCAAGCGAGCCCACCAAGTGGAACGTGGAAGACGTCTATGAATTCATCCGCTCCCTGCCAGGTGAGGCCCAGGGGAGTCCCGTGCGGGACTGGAAGAGCGGCCCCCGGGAGAGAGGGACAGCCCCCCCCCCCCAAGAAAATGACTCAGTTGGTGACTCAGGCTCAGGAGCCGCCATGCTGCAATCTGCCGCATTTCCTGGCATGGCAGGGTCTGTGTGAGATGCAGGGGTGACCGTGCACCAAGCCTGTGTCTCTCCTGGGACGGGGGGCAAGGAGTCAAGTGGGAGTGTAGGAAACCGGTCAAGGAGAACACCAGCGTAGGGAAAGGGAAGCTGCGTGACAGTGGGCAGGCAGGCCTCGGCCGGTGGGAGACACGACCCCGGGGAGCAACTCGAGCGGAGGTGCACAGACGTGGAAGGGTATGATGTAGGGAACCGCACAAACCCTGCTGGGGTGGGTGGTGCGCACGTGGTTCTGAGGCCTAGAACTGAGACATGAACCTTGAAAGACCTACCTCGCATTATTCACAGATGCTTTCAGGGGGATCCCGCAGGCTTCTCGGCTGTTGTTTCTGGCAGTCGCCCCCGGCTGCTGGCCACGTCAGGTATGGACGGCAGCCGCAAGCCTGTTACTCAGAGACCCGAGTGGGAGCAGTGGCCGAGAGCGCGGACTTGTCTGTCGGAACTGGGCTCACATCCCTGGCTCTGCCCCTCACTGCAGTGTGTTAGTCATCTCCTGCTGCGTTCCCAGAATTTATCACCACACAGTTACGGTGGCTCAGGAACGTGGGAGTGGCTTGGCTGGACATTTCTGCCACAGGGTCTCTTGTGAGGTTGCAATGAAGGTGTGGCCCAAGGCTTCCCTGGGGCTGTAGGATCCTGTTCTCAGGTGCCCCATGCCCCTGATTGTCAAGGACGGTATGGCTGCCCACAGGAGGCCTCCATTCTTCTCCGAACGGGCCTCTTCAGGACACTCGTGCTTGCATGTTCTTTCCCCACAGGAGGGTGATCCAGGAGAGCATGGTGGAAGTCACTGTGGCCCTTTTGATCTAGACTCAGAAGCTACATGGTGTCACTTTCACAGTATCACACAGGTCATGCCCACAGGGACATGAAAGGGAAGCCAGGTTTATTTAGAGCTGGTTACCATAGTTCACCAGTCACTGGCCCCCATGATTCATGTTCCTCCCTCAAGCCGACCACCCTCGCCCCCTACCATAGACCCCACAAATCTCATCCCATTGCAGCAGTAATTCAAAGCCCAGGATCTCACCAGCAAACTCTGGTCCAGGCGTGGGTGAGCTCCTCAAGCCCAGTTCTTCTCCATCTGAACGCCTGAGAACTAGAGACACGTTCCCCGTTCCCTCCACAAACCCAAGATATGGTGGGATAGGTGTAGGATCACTGCGGTAGGCACAGCTGTTCAAAAAGGGGAGAACAGTGCAGGAGGATACAGGAGTCACCCATCGTCCCAGTTCTGAAATCTAGCAGGGCACGTGTTGGCATTTCCCTGATTAGGACTCCAAGCCCGGGAGTGATTATCTTTCCTTCTTGCTTCCATCCTGTGAGTCCTCCTTCCTTTCCCATGAAAGGTAGCCTGAGCTTTCAGCAGACTAGTTTTCTCAGCCTGTTCCTGCTGCTCTTCATTTTCTATGACCTCGACTCTTACAGTTCAAGCAGTGTTTATGCCAGTACAATTGTCTTAAAATCGTTGTGGGCTTCCAGTGCATCTTGTTGGGATTTACTCCATTAGACAAAAGCCATACCCCAAAATGCTCCGAGAAGCCTTTCTCTATGTTGGCTTCTTCTGAAGCTGAGGGACAGTGCCCTTAATATGTTTGAAGCTCTGCTATTGAGCAGCCCGGATCCAGGAGGCACGCCCGTAAACTCCTTAAGAGAGTTCTCTGAGGCAGCACCTTCGAGCTTCTAAGATCTTGGTGAAAGATCTGTCATGCCCTCAGTTCTATCTCTAGACCATGTTTTCTTACCTGTGTCCCGGATTTGATCTTTGCCTAGAAACTACTTCTTAGTTTTGGCATCATTTGCTATCTGGAGAGGCCAGGGATTTTCAAACGAGCAACTCCTGGCTCCTTGATGTCTAACAGTTTCACCTTTACCTCATCTGTCCTCGTTTTCCTGCGAGCAGCGGTCAGAAGCCAGGCAGCACCTTCACCGTTCTGCTGGAAACGTCCTCCGCTAGATGCTAGATCGCTCCGTCCATGAGGCCCAGTACACTTACCGTGTTACACCCGCTGCAGGGTCCTGACGTTTTCTCCACTTCCCAGCAAAGATCCATTTCTCCCAGTTTCCAGAAACCGTTGCCTTTCCCTGAAGCCTCACCCAGTCTCCTCACAGGCCATCAGACTGCTGTCCAGTCCCTCAGAATATCTTAGACACGTCACTGACCCTCTCAGAGTCCTTCCAGCTCCTGCCCACTGCCGCCCCCCAGGCCACGGCAGCACCCCTCTTCCAGAAGCCAGAATCTGCATTCGTTACCCCAGAGTGTCGTGGTTTACCTCAGGTTCTGTGGGTCAGGAACCCTGCTTAGCTGCGCAGCAATGGCTTGGGGTCTCTTACGAGGCCTCGGTCAAGATGGCAGCCAGAGCTGCGGTTGTCCGAAGGTTTGGAGCCAGAGGACCTGGCTCCGGGCTGCCCCACTCACGTGGCACAGAGTGCCAAGTGGCCTCAGTTCCTCTCCACATGGGCCTCCTCTGAGTGCTGCTTGACTGTCCTCATGACCTAGTCGCTGGCTTCCTCCAGAGTAAACTCTCTGGAAGTGCCCTTGGCGACCCAGCCTTGGAAATCCCAAGCTCTTGCTCCCACAGCACCTTGCTCTGCCGGGTCTGCCCCGTTCATTGAGGGGGGCTCTGACCAGGACATGCATGAGTAAGAGGCGCGGGATCACTTGGGTAAGTCACTTAGCCTCTCCCGGGCTGTCACACGAGACAGCCTTCCTCAAGGTGTGCTTAGGAGGGTTCAGGGAGATCGTGCACAGTGGGTACCAAGCGTGAACGCCACTAGCTCTGACTGACCCCGTCTGTGGTGGGATCCCCCTCAGGCTGCCAGGAAATAGCAGAGGAGTTCCGTGCCCAGGAGATCGACGGGCAAGCCCTGCTGCTGCTCAAGGAGGACCACCTGATGAGCGCCATGAACATCAAGCTGGGGCCTGCCCTGAAGATCTACGCTCGCATCAGCATGCTCAAGGACTCCTAGGGCTGGCGGGCGCAGCCAGGGTCCTGGCCCGGGGCGCCTCCTCCCGACTGAGCAGAGCCAGACAGACATTCCTGAGGGGCCCAGAAATGGGGCCAGTCGGAGGGAAGGGCTCTCCCTATGGGGCGTGGCTGGTGAGGAGGTCTTGGCACCCCCTCAATGGCTCTCAGGGGCCTTTCTTTCTGTGGGAGGGGCAGAGAGGTAGGTGGCACAGAAGATGGGGCTTTATGCTTGTAAATATTGATAGCACTGGCTTCCTCCAAAGTCCCAATACTCTAGCCCCGCTCTCTTCCCCTCTCTCTGTCCCCCATTTTCCAGGGGGTATACGGTCAGGGCTCCCCAACCTGAGTTGGGTTACTTTCAAGGGCAGCTGTCAGGCCTGGATAGAGGCCTTGCAAGCCCTTGCCTGCCTTTCTCCCACTTCTTTCTCTGGGCCTGGCTAACTCTTCCGTTGCCGGCTTCTCCCCCTTCAGCCCGTTTCTGAAGCAGCCAGGGGTTCTCCCCCTTCACCCTCCGCAGGTGGAGAGAGAGAAGCTGGGCCCGGTTTGGCCACGCCTGCTGGCACAGACGCCTTAACGCTGTGTGTGTGACTGGATGACTGTGTAGGAGCCTGGACTGGCAGGTGGGCCCAGAGCCACCCTCTGGCATCTCCAGGTGTTCTGTAGCAAACAGCCACTTAGTGCTTTGTCCTGGACTCCACTCAGCCTCAGGATGGGGAGTAGAACAGAAGGGCAGCCTCCGTGCAGAGAGGCGAGATCAGAAAGCGAAGATCAGGAGTGGGCACGCTGTCTCCGAAGTCCTTCCCACACTGTGAAGTCCCCCCCGCCCCCCGACTGCCCTGCTGTGCCACACGCAGCATTAAGGGAGCTGCTGTGGGCCGGGCCGGGCCTCCTGGCCTGCCCACCTGCCCACCCGCCCTGGGAGCCCCAGAGTGGGGGCCCAGAGAACGTCTTGAGGGCAGAGAAGAGCCGGGGTGACGTTGTCGTGAAGAAGGCAGCCTTGGGCCTCCCGCTTCCACACTTCTTTGCCTCTCGAACTTGCTAGCAATTTGAGCTACCTGCGGAGGAGGCAGGGCAGGAAGGGCGAGGGCCTGCCTCTGACTTGCCCTGCCCTTGGAGGCTCCTGGGGGAAGAGCGGGGCTCTCCCCGGGAAGAGGGGGGGGCACCTTTCTCAGCTTGTTCTATTCCCCACTCACCCCCAGGCAGGGTTGGAAATGAAGGACTTTTTTAACCTTTTGTTTTTGTTTTTTTAAAAATAAATCCGTAAAATCTGTTTCTTCTGTGCCTTTCTCCGCTGGCCACTTCTCATCCAGAAGGAGAGGGATGGTTCTCTGGGCTGGGGGAAGGACAATCTCCTTAACTTAACTCCCGTTTCTGCCTGTGTAAAACGTGCATTTGAGGCCCAGCCCACTGAATCCGTCTCTAAGGGCGGGGCCCAGGAAGATTAGGCACAATCACTTTGAGGAGTTTGATAACACTTCTCGGGAAAGCCAGTTAAACTGTAACTAGTACCTGGAGGAAGAGCAGAAGCCTGCCGGCGATTCTGATTACCCAGAGGGCAGAGCCAGGACTGGAGGGGCTGCTGGGCCAGGGCCAGGGCCAGGGGCCCAGCCTCGGGGAAAGTGGGAGGGTGGGGCCCCGCTGGGCAGGTGCCCCGAGGTCCCGGCGAGTCGGCGAGTCTCTGCACTCTGGATCCCCACCCCCCTTTTCCCTCCTGAGGAAAGTCAAAGCCAGGCCTCTCCTGAGTTTGTGCCTAAACGTGTGGTGAGGGAGGAGGGCACCAAAACTCCTCAGAAGAGAGGACGTGGTGCAGTCGCGGGGACTGGCTGACACAGACAAATGCCGGTGCCCTTCTTTATGTGTGTGAAGGGTGGCTCTAAATCCAGGTGAAAGCTCACCTTAGGCCACCTCACTTTTTTTTTTTTTTAAGATTTTATTTGTTTATTTGACAGAGACAGCGAGAGAGGGAACACAGGCAGGGGGAGTGGGAGAGGGAGAAGCAGGCTTCCCGAGGAGCAGGGAGCCCGATGCGGGGCTCGATCCCAGGACCCTGGGATCATGACCTGAGCCACCCAGGCGCCCCTGTCCACTTCACTTTTACAAAAGACCTACATGAGTCCCTGTTTTCACGGACCAAAACAAATCCCAAGAGGGTTTTTGCTTTTCTGGAAAAAGGCAAAAAGTGCAAATAGCTTGTTCAGCGTCTGTTCGGCAGCAAGCCGCAGATGGAAGCCCGCGCGCCGGGGGCTGCTCAGCATCTCAGCTCCCGACCCCCAACCCCCGCCCCCGGCTCTACCTACGTTTATTTGTGCTGTTAGCAAGGTGTGTCCTAAGGTAGCAGAAAAGCCTAAGACGGGTTACTTTTGCGTCTGGGAACGCTGAAAAAACTTTCCATATAAATTAACGATTAAATTAAACCATCTTCGCTTTACATCTTTTCTGCTTATGGAAGTTTTCACAAAGAACACTCTTCTTTCAGAGACCAGGAAAACCTGTATTTGTTCCTGTTGTTTACACTTTACAGAGAATTTTGCAGACCTTTTTTTTGATCACGAGCCACCATTTAAAAAAAAATGTTTTCCACTCATACACACACTTAAATATAGATATCTGAAGCAACAATTTCACAAAACGATACCTACCCTACGTACATTCTGGTATTTTCAGTTCTCTGGCTGTTCATGTTTTAAATCTCGGTCACGATCCATGATCCACAAAACATTTCTGAGGGCTCACAACCTGCACTTTTTAAAAAACCCTGCCCAGTGTAAACCTTACAGAATGGTTTCATATCCTCTATCTTGTGCGGCTCTTACACTGTCCTGGGTGACTTGGGCATGTGCTCCATTCCATGGTGAGTTCTCCAAGGTCACACTCGGGCGACCAGTGCCCTTGAGATCTGGCTGAAGCTCCGTGCAGAGCAGGGTTTTTCCTGGACGGCAGACACTGCAGCCCGACCCCCTCACCCTTCCCAGTGCTCTAAGACACTGAAGAAGAGCCCAGGCACCCTTGCACAGGTAAGAGAAACCAATACGAAATAGCTCAGAGCCTCCAGCCAACCAGAGCGAGCTGGCCTTACTCAGATCCACCTTCTTCCAGGTGATTGGCCCCAAAGGGGCTCTGGGGCTCTGGGCCCCCACCCCATCCTGGGGCCAGCTTCCTCCAGCAGGCACCACCCCCAGGGGAGTCCCTCTCGGGGCAGTTCATCTCTGCCTGCTCCTGTGGGTGTGGTTTCCGACAGATGGCCTGGAGCTGCTTTGTCCCAGTCAACAGGAACTGGTCATTTCTTCCCTGGCTCCGAGCTCAAGGGCTCTTCTTGGCCGGTTGTCTTACCAGCTTCTCGACATGGCTCTCCAGGAGAGACTCAGGTGAGTTGGGGACACTGCCAATGTGTCGGGGGGAAGATGAGGGGACAGCTGACCTGGGAGGAGACCAGCCTGGTGGCCAGAACAGTCAGGGAGGAGGCACGAAAGCTGGCCTGTTGAGTACCAGCTGAGCCATGTTGATCCTGGGAGAAGGGGGACTCTGAAAGGGGACATCACTCAAGGGGTAGAGATGGTCCATGGAACAGAGTGGGGTGGAGGGAGACTGCACCCTAGGAGATCTTGTGGATCTTGTCAAGAGAGCTGGGTGACGCCTCTTGCTGTCCTTAACCCCGAGCCCCCTTGGTGAGTGAGAGAAGGAAGACCTAGGGCTGTGTCCCCCACCATAGCCGAGAGCTCTCTCGCCTCCCACTGGGACTGACCATCCAGGATTGAAACTTGTTCCACGTAAGAACTAACGATTGATCTTCAACCCCTTCTTGAAAGCCAGGAGGCTGTAGGGAACAGCATGGGGTAGGCTTCAAGGACCACCTGCTGCAGGTGGAGGGGGGGTGGAGGGGCTGCTTTTGAAAATGGCTGAACAAGGCATGTGGAAGGAAGAATGGGCCAGGCAGAGGCCCCTATGGACAAAGGGCTCCCAAGGGGGCCTGTGAGGGGGGCAGCAATAGTGGGCAGGTGCCTATCACGGGCCTACATCTGGGCATCCTCCGAGCCCTCACCCGGGCCACTTGGGGCCAGCTCCGCCTGGCTGCCCTGGCTGAGGCCCAGTGCCCAAGATAAGCAACAGCTTTCCCCACCCAGGTTGGGAGGGGGCTGGCTAAGAGGGTCAAGAGCTGGGGGCCGAGAGAGGTCAATTCCAGCTTTTTCCTGCCCCTGTAGCACAGACAGGTGGTGCTTCCGGAGGGGCCCTCTGCGGGTAGAACTGCAGCCCGTCCTCCCGGGGCGCAGTGCGGTGCGGTCGCTGGAAGGGAGAGAAAGCTGCCTGTGGGAGACCCTGGCGGGGAGCGTGAGGTGCCTTGGGGGACTAATGACATGGCCAAAGACCCTTGGGAGATGAGCCTCAGGGCTGAGCTGGGGCCAGGTCGTAAGGAACCCCAAGTGCCATGTTCTGGCTTGGGGATCAGACCTCAGTTCAAACCTCCGCTCCGTGGCATAACCAGCTATGTGACCTTGAGCAAGTGATTTAATGCTTCTGAACCTGTTTCCTCATAAGGTAGAGACAATCAGGGCAGCTCCTTCAAGGGCCCGTGGGCAGGCCTCCATGAGATAGGGACCTAAAACACTGGGCAGGCAGAGGGTCTGCCTCGTAAATGTCCGGCATTATTCGTAAAGAGTGTAGACTATTCATGAAAGCAAACAGTGTTGAGAGTCACAGTTGGGGAAAGAGAATGAAGACAAGAAAACCATTCATTGCTTCATTTGTTTACTGAACAATCATTAATACCACCAACTACAAGGCAGGCTCTCAGGTTTGGCACCGAGAGCACAAGGCCCAAGAAAACAGACCCCCACAGCCTGGTGGGGCACAGGTGCAGAGTCTAGTTGGGCATGTGCTGGAGGAGAGGTTTGCACCGGTCCGAGGGGCACCCGGCGGCAGGGGTTGGGGGGCAGGGCGAGGAAGGCGTCAGTCACAAGGAGGCTGGGCATTGAAGCATATTATCTGGAGCTTGGTGGTGGTTGGTAGGAAAATAAGGGCAAACATACAGAGGCGGGGAAGACCCAAGTCAAGTCAGACGCAGGAATCCAGGTGAGAAGCAGTGAGGCGGGAATGGCTCTGTGGGGTGGGGACAAGGGAGCTTGGGGCCCTGGCGGGGAGGCAGAAGCAAGAGGACTCGGTGACTGACAGCTATGAGGGGAGGGGAAGGGGTCCCACTCGGATACCTGGGACCAGTCACAGAGAACACAGGACATCATGATGTCATTTACCAAGATGGAGGGGACCTGAGTGGGGAGCAGGTTTCTGAGGAAAATCAAGAGCACCGATTTGGCCATTAAATGTGAGACGCTTGGGAGACATCCAAGTGGAGAGAGCGGGTGGCACCAACCCCCCAGGTGTCCTCTGTCACTACTCGTGATGCCCAGAACAGTCCCAGCAGAAGCCCCGGTAAGTGCTATGCAGCCCCACCCCAGGCCCAGGAGGGAACTCTGATCGAGGGTGTGGTTTAGGACGACTTTTGGTCTTTTCCCTGCGTGCCCGGCCAGGACTCTTCGAAAGGTTGGCATTTCCTGAGTGACTGGAATGTCTTTTGTTATTCCTAATAAGCCCCTATCCCAGCTGAGTTTATGCTAAGGAGGTGACTTAAGTTGGTCCCTCGTTGCGTCTGCGTCGGGATGGGGCTGATCGCCAGAAAGACCCTGGATTAGAGGCTTGGAACGTTCAGCCCCACCCCAGCCCCTTGGACAGCAGTGTGAGAAAGCTTCCGGGTCGGGGAGTGCGTCCCACAGCCGGGACCCCTGCAACTGCACGCGGGCTAGAGCCTCCTGAGCTCTGGACCCTTCTGGACGCCCCTCTACGCAGTCCTGGATCGGGGTCTTCATAAACGAACCAGGAAATGGAAGGAAACTGCCTCCCTGAGTTACGTGAGCTGTTCTGCGAGCAAATTAATGGAACACGAGGGGGCTGTGGGAACCCCTGAGTTAAAGTCAATGAGCCACGAGCAGGGGTAGCCCACAGGGTGACTAGAACAAAAAGGGAAGCTGGACGAGAGACGAGTGTGAAGAAACAGACATTATCTTCTTCTGTTAGACAACATTAAAAGGGCAAAATCCCTCCAGGTACATCTGAAGACCGAGTGGGCTTTCTTTAACGATTCATGAATCGGGCAGCATCTCAGCAGACAGAACGGGGCTCTGTGGAGCTGGACAAGATGGCAGGCTTTTATAGGCAGGAGGGGATGGAGGAAAGGAAGCTTCTAGCCAAGAGTGGACTGTTTCAGGCGAGGTCACCTTCCTTTGGGGGAAGGCAGGGGTCCATCAGGCAGATGACGTCACTGGTGCTGACCAGGTAATTCCAGCCTGACTGGTTAAAAGACACATTCCTGTGGGAAGCTGGAACTGCAGTTGCGTTAGGTACTGAGTCGTGGCTGGCGGACAGGGCACTGCGTGTGAGTGGCTCCATCTGGGGCCCGTTGTTTCTTTCGTAACCGTTCCCCCTCCTTTTGGTCAGACTCTCGGTTTGACTGAGAGATGAGTCCTCCGTGTGGTGCTCGCAGGTCATGACTTCAGGCTCACATTGTTGAAGTCAGACATTCACTCCATTCCCTTCTTGATGCTCCAGTCTCAGCGAGAGCATTTGCTTGGTGGTTAGGGCTTCGAACGTGCATTTAAAGCTTCTGAGAGAGCACAGGGCCCCCGGATGGCTGCTGTGGTTATTATCAGCAGGACACTTCTCTCTGTTCGGGGAGCACTCAGGAGCCACGGGCCCCAAGACCCAAATCCATCGAAATCAAGTAAGGCAAAGAAAGACCCCATGGAAGGGGTCACCTTTTTAAGCCAAGTGGCTTGCTCAGCACTCTTCCGGAACTGAGTTTCAGCTTCCCTAGAAGTGTTCATCCCAGTGCAGCACGGGGTACTGACCACAGCCCAGACTCCTCTGCGTTCGGCTCAAAGTTCATCAGGGGCTGTCCTAATATCAAAAACAGCTCAGGCAGGGGCACCTGGGTGGCTCAGTTGGTTGAGCGTCTGCCTTCGGCTCAGGTCCTGATCCCAGGGTCCTGGGATCGAGTCCCACGTTGGGCTCCTTGCTCCGCGAGGAGTCTTGCTTCTCCCTCTGCCTCTGCCCGCCCTCCCCCCGCCCACCCCCCGCTCCCTCTCTCTCTCTCTCTGCTCTCTCTCTGTCTGGCAAATAAACGAATAAAACCTTAAAAACAAAAGCAACTCTGGCCAGAGAGTCTAAGGATTTTCACTGTGTGTCTATTGCTTCAGCACTGGATTTTTGCCACACTTTCAAGAGTTAAGGAGAGTGTCCTGATCACAGCCTCATTTGTATTCACTCCTAACCAGGGAGTTAGGGACCTGCCAAAGGAAGCAAATCCTGACTCACAAAAGCCGCCTGGTAGGTCCTTTCTAATTAGAGGTTGTAAATTTAGGGGAACTGACCGATGGGGTGTCCGGGTTTGTCTGTGACAGGGGCACAGTTAGCTAACCCTCTTAGATAAGAGTCACTGCCCTCTAGGCATTCAAAGGCCCAAAGGGGATGAAAGCCACCACAAAGACAGACCCTGTCCACCCCGCGAAGGTGGCACTGTGAATGGACTCTGCCTTCATGGACAGATCGGAGGGTTTTTTTTTTTTTTTTTTTTAAGATTTATTTATTTATTTGACAGAGAGAGACACAGCAAGAGAGGGAACACAAGCAGGGGGAGTGGGAGAGGGAGAAGTAGGCTTCCCGCCGAGCAGGGAGCCCGATATAGGGCTCGATCCCAGGACCCTGGGACCATGACCTGAGCTGAAGGCAGACGCTTAACGACTGAGCCACCCAGGCACCCCAGATCAGAGTTTTTTAAAGACAAATTTAGAAGTCTGAAAGGTTACCTCCCTTTAGCAAAGGCCCAGGAGATACAGATGAAGGTGTTATCTTTCCAGGCCAATGCTAGAATAAAGGAAAGAAAGAAAAGAAGTAAGGGTTTTAGCCTTAAAGTAGGAAGTCTCTATCTGGTGCTTTGGGTGGGAGCAGTCTACCTGGATGTCAGGTACTTCTCTTCCTCGTCCGTTTGATTTGGAGGTCTCTGGCATCTGCACAGGATGGCAGGACACGTGCAGCCTTCTTTAGCTGTGAGATGTGGACCCAAGGTTCAAGTTCCTGGCATTTGGCTGCCATCAGGGTGGTGAGGAGGACCTGGAATAGTCCCTTCCAAGGAGATTCAGGGCATTCTTTGGGCTCGGTGACTCCCAAGTCAGAAGGGTGCGAGAAACTTGGAAACATTCTTTCGGAGAGTTGTAGTCAGATATTTGAAGAAACTAGAAGAATTCAGGATCTAATTCTGTGTACAGGCATTTAACAGAAACTCAAAGACAATAAACAGGATTCAAATCTAGTATCTACA